TTCCCAGAACTGTAATATACAAAACAGATAAATGTAGAGTGGCTCTAAAAGTAGGGCCTAATACCCCTTTTACCACCAGAGCAATCTCTGATGCCTTTCTGCAAAACTCTAAGGCTTTTGGGTACAAAATTTGAAAAGTATTCCTTTAACCTATAATAAAAAAATGAATATTAAAACAGTTATAAAACTTATTAAAAGCTATTACTTAGCTAATTAGAATATTCTGTTAACCAAAATGATTTCTGATACTTATCAGTTGCTGTAAGTCTGAAATACCATCAAACTTATTTATTAAAAGCAACAATGACAAAATTACAACATTTTGCTAAACTGGATATTTCATCAAATTTTAGTTATTTTTCATTATATTTAATCTTTAACTTGTAAAGTAGAAAGTATTCAACTACATGTAAGTCTGAAGGTAGAGGAAAAAACGGTTTTCTAAAGGGATAATAAAACTAAGTAAGGCTGATGAATGATAAACAAATGATGTAAATTTCTATGTCTTTTTTTTTTTTTGAGACACAGTCTCGCTTTTTGCCCAGGCTAGAGTGAGTGCTGTGGCATCAGCCTAGCTCACAGCAACCTCAATCTCCTGGCTCAAGCAATCCTACTGCCTCAGCCTCCGAGTAGCTGGGATTACAGGCATTTGCCACCATGCCGTCTAATTTTTTCTATTATATATTTAGTTGCAATTAATTTCTTTCTATTTATAGTAGAGACGGGGGTCTTGCTCTTGCTCAGGCTGGTTTCGAACTCCTGACCTCAAGCAATCCACCCGCCTCGGCCTCCCAGAGGGCTAGGATTACAGGCGTTGAGCCACCACGCCCAGCCTCTATGTCTTATTTATAGGGATTTACAAACTACCAAAGCAGGAAGATCTGCCATTACTGAGATTTATTTAGCCTTCCAAAATCTGGTTGGTGAGAGGTCTGGCATCATGGAGTTAGAGAGCAAACATGTGTTCAGCCCCATAAACTGTTCTATTTAGTCATATAATCTATACTTGCAGGAAAAGGGGAAGACCAGAAACAACCAAACTGGATCTCATTACTTCCTGGATCACTGTATCATCCTCCCACCAATGATGAAGACAATATGTAAATATTTGAATAAAGTAAGTTCCCACCCACAAATTTTGTTTTGGATACAAATAAAAGTAAAAAGTAACTGAAACAGTAATTCTGTTTGCCTGACACTTCTCTACAGTATTTTAAAAACATAAATGACAAAAAGCTATAAAAAACCTAGAGGAGGGTTTTAAAAAGAACCTAGGTATTTCTTCATGTATCAATCAAGACAGATAATAAATAGTCTGTGAAAAATATAAATCTTCATTTTATGACATTAAAAACTGGACAATATGCTGGGCGCGGTGGCTCTCGCCTGTAATCCTAGCACTCTGGGAGGCTGAGGTGGGTGGATTGCTCGAGGTTAGGAGTTCGAAACCAGCCTGAGCAAGAGTGAGACCCCGTCTCTACTATAAACAGAAAGAAATTAATTGGCCAACTAATATACATAGAAAAAGTTAGCCGGGCATGGTGGCGCATGCCTGTAGTCCCAGCTACTTGGGAGGCTGAGGCAGGAGGATTGCTTGAGCCCAGGAGTTTGAGGTTGCTGTGAGCTAGGCTGACGCCACGGCACTCACTCTAGCCTGGGAAAACAAAGCGAGACTCTGTCTCAAATAAAAAAAACAAACTGGACAATAAGGAATTTGCTAAAAACTAGTACATGCAGATTTAGAGGTGGAGTTGCTATCTAAACAGCCATAGGGTTTGGATATATAGTATATAGGTAGCAGAAAAAGGGATCAAACTATTCAGGTTAAATCTTGGCTGAAGTAAACTAGTCCCTTGGGCACACTGTTAGAAGTAACAACACCAGTCTCTAAGCCCAGAGGAAAGGGGCTTAAACTTTGACTCTTGCTTATCATTTAAAAAAAGGAGGGGTGAGGGGAGGTACTTTGATTGTATTTCAGACCTAGAGCACTAGAAGTAGAAGCCAAAGGCCTTTTTTTTTGACTGTTATCTTCCACTCACCAGACATTTTGTCACCATATTATCCTTTTCTACTTGTGTAATTACCAATATTTTAAAGTGATTTAAGTACTTGTTTACTATCAGTACTCCTTCCTCCATTAGACTTGCATTTCATGAGAGCAGAGACCTAGTCCTTACAACACTGCCTGGCAAATTGAAGAGGTCTAGTGAGTGTGTGTTGAATGAATGAATAAATGAATGAACAAATCAACTGCTGTACCACTTTGGCTCCTCCCTTTTCATGATCCTCATTCATGAATGTATTGATTTGGTGAGTATGGTGGAAGTTTAAGTGGGTATTTGTGAGTACAGTGGAAGTCTTAAGTGGGTGACAGTAATTGGATAGTGTGCAGGTGGTTCATTAGAAGCAGGAGTTGAGAGATAACTACTACAAATAACTATAAAACAATGTAGGCATTTAACTCTCCTAACTACATTTAAAAAAAAAGACTATAATATAGTAACTGCTCCAAAGACTAGAGAATTTATTTGCAAAATTACTATGAGCCACCCCTCTCCCCTCAAAAGACTTTTGCTAACTAGACTGCTTCACTGGGAGGAGAATGACTGGAGATGGAGGTTTTAAGCAAAGAATAATTTCCATAATAGAATGTGTGCATACATGGTGTGTGTACAGTTTTAAATTAAAAAATTAAGATTTAGTAAATGTGGGAACAGATTCCAGTATTTAACCATTTAAGAATCAAATCAATGATTCTAGTTTTCTAAGGCATTCTGAAATATTATGTTCAAAAATATGACATGACAAAACTTATGTCTTAAGAATTTAATTAAATGAAAAAAAGCAGCACAGATAAAAGAACATCCACAAAGAAATAAACATCCATGAAAGAGATACTATTAACAAAATTCCATCCTTAAATATAAAAAATATATATATCACTGGTATCTGCAATATATAATAAACTTCACTAAGCAGGTGAATATTTGCTGAGAAATAGCTAAGCAGAGTTGTCTGTAAAATACAGCTTTTTATAAAGTTAATACCCGATTCTCTTGGCTGCATGTTAGGTCAACCTGTAAGAATAAGATAGCCACTGCAACTGGATAGCATCCATGGTAGCATGATGAAAAATCCATCAGTTGTAAAGAGGGACTAGAGGATTTCTTTGTGTAAAATAAAACAGCACTTCATTTTAAAATTACTATTATATTTTCTACTAATGAAAAAATGATCTGCTATAGCTTCTGCTGAAAGTACCCAAGAGCTTAGGATGTCTCTCTTAAAAGAAAACTTACAGACCACATATCTTTGCATTTGCCTCCTTCACAAACACTCCTCAACAGGAATTCTTCAGGGATGTCATCACTGAGTCGCCAAGATTTCAATAATAACAACACAACAAGAATAACAATAACAACAGTAGCATCTGTTTATTATATGCCAGTCGCTGTTCTAAGTCTTTCCATACAATAACTAATTTAATTCCTCCAATAACCCTTTATACAATAGATACTGATTACACCCTTAAAATCTAGATTGACAGACACATCCTATATAGAAATTTTTTTAGATCTTACTACTACTTTAACTAAACTTATATAGTTATTTGACAAACCAATTCAAATCATGCCTGAGCCATTATCTCTTATGTCAGAGAGTTTAAGAAGTCCATTTTCCCTTCCAGGTATCACCTAGTTTATACCACTCACTTGGTTAAGACACTGTTCTGTTTTTGATTATATGAGATAGAGGTGTGCTGGAGCCAGCTATACCAGCTCATGAGAGCCCATTGTGCACGCATCTTCCCAACTCTACATTCAGTGACACCATGTTAGTAACTTGAAATTGACTGTAGTGGGAGTATTATTTTATGGCACAGAAATTGGGAAATCAGGGCTTTTTTTAAAAAATCAGACATCTGGTTGTTAAATATTTACTCATACAGCACTGATCTGAAGAAATGTGTTATTTTGTTAAGTTTGACAGGTCCTATTCAGATTTGGGTAGAATAAGTTTGTGTCTCTAATTTGGGTAAGCCCAGTTATCAACTATACTTTTAGACATCCAGAGCTCTCAGGAGAGAAGCAGCACATTCTTGCAATTGCTCTCCTAGGTCTAGAGTAGATTCTTTCCCTATTTATTTCTACAGTATGACTCATTCTCAAATGTTACAAACTTCCTAATCACTGTAAGTCATTCTATCTAACATACCACCGGTTACTAGAGTCATCATTATTTTATAAAGCACAGCTAGTTCAATTGATATACTATCAATTAAGATGCATCCTACTAGAAATACTGAAATCTAAAAAATGTGCACATTAAAAACTGATAGAAGAAAAAGTCATTTCTGTTTTGTTTACTACTGTTTTCCCAGCTCAGAATCTTAGTTCAACATCTCATTTACTCCTTATAGTCTACTCCTAGATCTCTCACATTAGTGCTTTCTCCAATGCCTATATATATTAATAAATATCTCTACCTATGTAGACTACTAACAGAATGGATTCTGTGTATATGATAGAAAAAATAATATTCCTGAAAATAGATGCAAAGTAATAAGAAAAGAAAAGATAAAGGATCAGAATTTGGTGGAGTAAGAGAAAGATACCTGAAGAAGTAGAAAGGGGAGGCTTCTCTGAGAAGCACAAAGAGACTGTGGAACACAGAAGGGGCAAAAAAGGTTACAAGCAAAATAGCCTAAACAGCATGTATTATTACAAAGTTGCTTTTAATTTTATGGTGTGGAATGGTTTATTATCAGGATGAATATTCAAGTCTTCCCCAAAACTGCTTTCACTGCTTTGAGAAGACATGAATATGGCCTAATGTGAATGGCAAGTACTTTTAATGCACTTCAGACTTTTCTGCCAACAGCATTACCAAGAGAAATGAACATATTTTCTGTCTTTTCAAAAACAACCTACATCAAACAATACTGAGGTACCTCAACTTTTAAAAACACTCTTAAAGCACTTGGAAATGATTTTACTTACTCTCCGTCCACTTCTGGTCTTGTACATACACAGTGAAACTTGCCACCGAAATCTATATAAAGATCATTCTCCACAATATGAAAGATTCGTCCAATGACTATTTTATCCTTGGCAGGTCCCATCTGTGTAAGAGGAGAACGTCTTAGCATGGATGCAAACGATTCCACATTTTTTGGAGAGTCCTAAATATGAAAAGAGATATTTATATACATATAACTCAGCATAAAGGTATAATAAAGTCTTAAAGGGGAAAATTTTTAAAGTCAAATTTTGTAGCAATAATTAAAAAAAATTTTTTTTATATGGAATTTTGCTATAAAGATCCAGTTATGCTCTTTAATTACCTCTACCTTTCTTTTCTTCCTGAAGAGGAGCTAAAGAAATGTAGCTATCTGGACTTGGTGGGGGATGGCAGGGATGCGGTGGTCCAGAGTGGGGTCTCAAGAGCCCAAGCCAGGTCAGGAGAATAGGAGAGTGTGTATACAAAGCCTCCCAGAATGGGGCTAGTGGTGGGGGTTGGAAGGTGTCAGAGTCTGAGCACATGAGAAGGGCATCCAAGCAGATGATCAACTTTATTCTCAATTCTGACCATCTGCGAAAATGCTTTCTATTAATAATTAAGGTTTGGTGAGAGTGACTATTTTTAATACAAATTTAAATATACACTAAGATAAAAATGATTAAGGACTCTTCATCACAGTTATCAGTCTGAACATGAGTTCCTGTTATTTTTAAACAACTTGAATTTGTTATAATTTTCTTTTTCCTAAAGTAAAATTTCAAAGGAAAAATAGCTTCTTTAATTGTTTTGTGCTGCTTACTCTCTAGGAGCCCTTTTACGTATTGAATACACTTGAGGCATGACTGAACATATAGTCTGACTACTCCTTTTTTTCCTCTTATAAAAATGTTTTCCATACACATGATTTTTCAGAAATCCATGAACATAGATTTATGCCTTCTATTATCTTTAAATCTGTGTATGGTGGGGTGTGTGTGCACTTTAGTGCAATATAAGGGAAGTACTAAGTTTCTATTTGTGAGAGCTAATCACAGAAGAATATTAACATTTTGATCTACCTATATCCTGTATTTGGAAAGAGTTTTACATTTGTTATTCAAAGGAGAATTTTTATTAAGAGTTCAAAAGCATATTTACTTTTAAAACTACAAAACAATATTTATGACTTAATTTTAATGCATGTACTACTCCAAGGATCACAAACTCAAATGCCAGGGCAGGTGGGGGCTTTATAAGCAGAATGTGCCCAAGTCTAAAAGGTGTAGCCACTACTTAGCTCCAGCTGCAGCTGCAATTCAAGTCCAGTTGTTGCCACGTTTTAATTTTCCAAGAAAAAGCAGAAATCCACATATTAATGTAAAATTTCCAATTTTTAAATGCTTATATGCTGGGAAAAAAAAGTTTTCCATCTTACAAAACTGGCAAAACACATTTGGGTGTTGAATTTGGCCCATGAATCACAAGTTTATGACCTCTGCCTCAGGAAGAAAAGTTAAGACATTTGGCTGATGACAACTCCCTCAGGTGCTGGAGGAAGGGTATGGTGATGAATTTATTTAGTAGATTGAAACACATTGGGAAAAAGCCTTACACAGGAGGGTCAATCTCAAACAAAGACAAGTCAATAGACCTACGTACAAACTAGAGCTTAAAGGATACCCAGGAATGCATGCCATGAGCCATAATCCTATTTTATTACTCCACACAGAATAACATTAAAGGTCCTTAAACAAGCACCTTGAAAAAATAGTTCTTGCAGAGAGCCAAGGATAAAATATGCCCTACAGACTCCACACAGACACAGCTATGACTTGCCCTCTAGAGGTAGTACAAAGAGAGTAAATACTAAATAAGCTATCCCTGACAAGAGCAGCTGAGAATAGCACTGCTTAAGGGAAGAGCAGACAGATTTTCAACTAGGGTGTCTCATCCTGCTTGTAACCAGGTTGGGTCCTGCCTGATTTCCCCCTATGACCTGCTTTCTCATTACTCCACTTCTGTGGTTGATATCTACCAGGCTTCCTCTTTTTTCTCTTACCCTTTTTTGGGAGGAGTGGGAGGTAGACAGGCTTCCAATTGAAGCCATAAGCTAGTTAAAACAGCCTTAGTTGACAGAAGATCCAGTAGCTGATTCAGTAGTTAAACATTTATTGGATATAACTCAGCCATCACTAGAGCCTGTTCCTAAAATAGTACTATAATCTCCTTTATAATTGTGAAGAAAGGTTTGGGCTAAGATTAGTATGATAGTAAGTAGTATTTCCCCTTGGTTTAAAAAAATTATAGAGTGTTCCCAAATGTTTAAAAGAATTCTCTCAAGATTTTTAGTAAGTCTGTCGTGAAATATTTAATCCATTATACAATTCATAAAATTACAAATAATTATTTATTTATTTATTTTGACAGAGCTCTGTAGCCTGGGCTAGAGTGCCATGCCATCAGCCTAGCTCACAGCAACCTCAAACTCCTGGGCTCAAGTGATCCTCCTGCCTCAGCCTCCAGAGTAGGTGGGACTACAGGCATGCGCAACTGTGCCCAGCTAATTTTTTTTATTTTTATTAGTTTGGCTAATTTTCTTTCTATTTATAGTAGAGATGGGGTCTTGCTCTTGCTCAGGCTGGTCTCGAACTCCTGAGCTCAAGCAATCCTCCCGCTTTGGCCTCCCAGAGTGCTAGGATTACAGGCGTGAGCCACCGCGCCCAGCTTAAATAATTATTTTTTAAAGACAACTTTAAAATCTAGTGGAAATAGAACACTATTGCTTCCTCGCCCATTATTTTTGCCTTTATTTTGTTACATTTTGCAAAGGAAGTATGTTTTCAGTGAGTGAAACGATTTCACTAAAAACATAAGACTCCTAGATTAACACCTGAATTTGCTTTTAAACTGTATGCTCATTATTGCAGTTGATATTTGATACTGCATTATTGATTTTCGGAACTGTTTCAAATAATCAAAGTCCTCCTTCAAAAATCATAGTCTAGAACCATCTCTGAATTTCTAGGGCATAAGCCAACATGTACTCATTTACTTGTCAAGGGACTTCTAAAAACAATAAATGTAGCAACTCCCACAATACATGTTGACTACAGGGAGTCCTATTTTTAAAGTGTCTAATCCAACATTGTTAGCTCCTCTCATGCTGATGCAGATTGCAGAAATTGTAAGCACACTGTCACCACTGGGTGTGTACCATAGAGCTCAGTGTCTAACCCTGGAAAATGTTACAATAAGGCTTATTCATAGAGTTGTCATAGGTAAAGCAAGCAACTTGGAGTTGACTGCTTCCTTTAAGGCTGGTCATAGAGCTCAGATTTCCTGTTACTCTGCTGTACTATTTTCTCCCTTTGAAGCCTGAAAGTTCAACAGGACTGCGTAGGTAGCAGATAAATGGAACAGTACAGCTTTCATTCATTCATCAAACATATGTTGAGTGTTGACTGCTTATCATGTACCAGGTTCTGTTCTGGGCCTTGATATGAAAATATGTGAAATGGTAAGGGAATACAGAGTTAAACCAACAGGACAACAGAAATTAGGGTTCAAAAAATTGCTGAAAACAACTGCTACCCTCACTTAGGTTGTAAAAAGTCTTGTATCCTAGGCTAAATAGGTTAGACATCTTATAAGCAGTAGGGAGTCAAAAGAAGTTTCTAATCAATGGGGTGACAGTACTTGTTCTTTGTTTCAACAAAACAAAACAAAATGCTTTGGTAGCACTATAAAAGATGGACCAAAGGGAGAAAAAAAGAAAAGAGTCAACTGTGGAGAGGCTCTTCCAATTACCTAGGATAGAGGTAATAAATGGCTTACACTAGATATCTGCACTCCCATGTTCATTGTAGCACTATTTACAATTGCCAAGATATGTAAATGTAGGTATCTGGCAATGGACAAATGAATATAGATACTGTCATATACATATATATACAAAATATATATATATATGTAAAAATAATCGAATATCACTCAGCCTTTTAAAAGGCAGTGATCTTGACTTTGCCACAATAGGGATGGACCTAGAGGACATTATGCTAAGTGAAATAAGCCAGACACAGAAAGAAAAATATTGCATGATCTTACTTTTATATGTGGAATCTTAGGGAAAAAAATATAGACAGGGAATAAAACAGTGGTTAACCAAGGTTGGGGTTAGGGAGAGGAAATGGGGACCTGTAAGTCAAAGGATACAAAGTAACAAATATGTAGAATGAAGAAGTAAAAAAATCTAATGTACAAAATAAGGACTATAGTTAATAATAGTGTTTTGCATTCAGGATTTTTGCTAAATGAGTAGATTATAGCTGCTCTTGCCACAGGAGGGAAAATGAGTAACTGTGTGAGATGATGGCTATGTTAACCTGTTCCACTATAGTAACTATTTTAATATATACATATATATGTATATATGTCTTACAACACCATGTTGTATGCCTTAAAAATATACAATAAAATTATTTACTTTTTAAAAAAGGGCTTACACTAAAACATTGGTCATTGGAATACAGAAGAAGAGATAACAACAACATTTACCAAATAGTACAGCAAAGCCTTAATACCCAAGGGGCTGCAGAAAGTGAGGCAAAGGGGAGGTATGGATGAAGGTGAAGAATAAGCTGAGATAAGAGAGTAAGCTTAGTTGTGCACATATTAGGTTTATAATATAAACCTATGTAAAATTTCAAAGAACGTTGGCTATCTGGTAGATAGTTAAAAATAACAGTGCACATATTTATATACAAATTTATATAAATTTATATATCTTTATAGTAATATTACATAGATACAAATCCCTCACAGAAAAGCACCAAATGCTATCTATAATAATTTTAATATAGAACTATTTTCTTCTTCATACTATTATAGAAAGTCTAGAATACAAAGAATATGTATTACTTTAAAACTTTTAATATACCTTAAGCATATATATATATAACTTTTGTGCATATGAAAAAATTTAATATATAGCTTGGAATAAGGGGCTACTAGTGCTAAGATAAACATGAGACATCAACTAGTCCAATTACCTCATTTTACACAAGTACCATATACGCTATTCAAAGCTACATGGTATGTTGAACAGTGGTTCTTAAATATAAG